TTGTATATTCCTAAGTGATAAGAGCCCTGGGAGCTTTTGTTCTTATGAGGTGGCTGTCTGGTGGGCTCCTAGATCGGGGCTGGTCACCAGATACACCAAACCACAATTAGAAGCTTAGAATATTCAGTCCCCCACTGCTGAGTAAGCATCATTAGTCTCATTAAAATCTCCCCTCCCACTGCCATCATGTCTAAGTCAGAGACTCCCAAAGAGCCTGATCAGCTCTTCATCCAAGGTTTGAGCTTTGAAACAACCGATGAGAACCTGAGGAGAAACTCTGAGCAATGGGGTACGCTGACGGACTGTGTGGTAATGAGAAATCCATACACCAGATGATCCAGAGGCTTTGGGTTTGTCCCATATGTGACTCTGAAGGAAGAGGATTCGACCATGAATGAAAGGCCACACAAGGTGGATGAAGAGTTGTGGAACCAAAGAGGGCTATCTCAGAAAAGATTCTCAAAAACCTGTTGGTTTTTCCTGTTGGTGGCATTAAAGAAGGCTCCAAAGAACATCATGTAAGAGATTATTTTGAACAGTATGGGAAAACTGAAGTGACTGAGATTATGACTGACCAAGGCAGTGGCAGAAAGAGAGGCTTGGCTTTTGTAACATTTGATGACCATGACTCCGTAGACAAGACTGTCATTCAAAAATCCCACCCTGTGAATGGCCACAACTGTGAAGTAAGGAAAGCCCTATCTAAACAAGAGATGGCTAGTGCTTCATCCAACCAAAGAGGTCGAAGTCGTTCTGGAAATTCTGGGGTGCTTGTGGAGGTGGTTTGGTGAGAATGACAACTTTGATCATGGAGGGAGCTTCAGAGGGTGAGGTGGCTTTGGGGCAGTCAAGGTGGTGGTGGATACAGTGGCAGTGGGGATGGCTATAACAGATTTGGTAATGATGGAAGCAACTTTGGAGGTAGCAGAAGTTATAATGATTTTGGCAATTACAACAATCAATCCTCAAATTTTGTACCCATGAAAGGAAGAAATTTTGGAGGCTAACAATCTGGCCCCTATGGTGGTGGAGGACAATACTTTGCCAAACCACGAAACCCTGGCAGTTCTAGCAGCAGCAGTAGCTATGGGAGTGGGAGAAGGTTTTCATTACTGCCAGGGAACATAACTTGGCAGGAGAGGACAGCCAGAAAGTGACATGGAAACTACAGATTACCAGAGATTTGTGAACTCGGCTGAGCACAGTGGTGGGAGGGCCTAGCTGCTACAAAGAAAACATGTTTTAGACAATACCCATGTGTACGGGCAAAAAAACTGAGGACTGTATTTGTGACTAATTGTATAACAGGTCATGTTAGTTTCTGTCCTGTGGAAAGTAAAAAGCATTCCAACAAAGGGTTTTAATATAGATTTTTTTTTTTTTTGCACCCACGCTGTTGATTGCTAAATGTAATAGTCTGATCATGACAATGAATAAATGTGTCTTTTAAAAAAAAGAGGAAGAATATTCAGTCCCCCACTCCAATTTCTCCACAGAGAGGAAAGAGGCTTACAGTGGAGTTAATAATTGAACATGCCTATGTGAGGAAGCCTCTATAAAATCCCCCAAAGTACGGGACTCAGAGAACTTCCAGGTTGGTGAACACATCCATACCAGGAGGGCAACACACCCCAACTCCACAGGGACAGAAGAGCCTATGATTGGGACCCTCCCAGATCTCACCTTATGTATTTCTTCATCTGACTATTCTTCTGTATTCTTCATCATATCCTTTAATAAACTGGAAAACGTAAGTAAATATTTCCCTGAATTCTGTAAGCTGCCTGAGCAAATTAATCAAATGAAATGAAGGAGGAGGTCTTGGGAACCTCCAATGTGTAGCCAAATTGGACAGAAACTGTGGGTAACATGGGGACCCGCCACTTGTCATTGGCATCTGAACTGGGGAGGAGTCTTGTGGGACTGAGCCCTTAACCTATGGCATCTGACACTATCTCCAGGTAGTGTTAGAACTTAAATTGTAGGCTACCTGGGCTAATGTCACAGATAACTGCCTGTTGTGGGGGGGACGGCACACGTTTGGTGACCACAGGTGTCAGAAGTGAAGTGTTTTCTGTGTGAATAGTAAAGATGACACATGGAGAAAGGAAAACTAAGGTTTTTCCAGTATAAACATATTCTAGTATTTTTGCTAAAGAAGCACAAATGCTAATAATAATAGCCCAAAGGCAAAGGAATATACAGTTTATTAGCCATCGGGGAAATACAAATCAAAACAATAACGAGATACCACATTATACCCACAAAGATGGTAAAAATCAAAAGACAGCAAATAACAAGTGTTGGGAGGGTGTGGGGAAACTAAAGCCCTCCTTCCTGGCTGTTGCAACTGTAAAATGATGTGGTCACTTTCAAAAACAGTCTGGCAGTTCTTCAAAATGTTAAATATCAAGTTATCATACAATCGAGTCATTTTACCTCTAGGTGCATACCGAAGAGAACCGGAAACATATGTTCACACAAAAATTTGTGCATGAATTATTCATAATAGCCAAAAAATGGAAACAACCCAAATGCCTATCGCCTGATGAATGGAGAAACAAAGTGTGATATATCCTTACAATGGAAGTGATGTGGTCTAAGAAAGGAATGAAGTACTGATACACACTACAACATGGATGAACTTTGAAGATATCACACTAAGTGAAAAGAGCCACACACAAAAGACCACATATTGTATGATTCCATTTTTTTTCTGGTATGTCCAGAACAGACAAATCTAAAGAAACAAAATGGAGATCAGTGGTTGCTGGGGGCTTGCAGAGGAGGAATAAGGAGTGACTGCTAGTGGGTATAGGGTTACTTTTTTTTTTTTTAAAGATTTTATTTATTTGACAGAGATCACAAGTAGGCAGAAAGGCAGGCAGAGAGAGAGGGGAAGGGAATCAGGCTCCCTGTCGAGCAGAGAGCCCAATGTGGGGCTCGATCCCAGGACCCTGAGATCATGACCTGAGCCGAAGGCAGAGGCTTTAACCCACTGAGCCACCCAGGCGCCCCCAGGGTTACTTTTTAAGGTGATAAAAATGCTCCAAAATTAGGTAATGGTGATTACACAACTCTGTGAATATATCAAAAGCCACCGAACTATATGTGCTTTAAAAGATCAAATTTTTTGGTATGTGAATCATATATCAATAAAGCTGCCCTAAATTAGTTACATATATAATTATTTAGCCACTTTTATTTGTTTTTTTAATTCCACTAAAGTGAACACACAGTGTTATATTAGTTTCAGGTGTATAATACAGTGATTCTCATCAAGACAAGTGTACTCTTTAATCCCCATCACTTATTTCAGCCATCCCCCTACCCACTGACCAGTTTGTTTTCTAGTTAAGAGTCAGTTTTGGTTCTTTTTTTTTTTTTTTTTTTTTTTTTGTAGGAAACAAAGGTTTTGTTGGGTTTTAAGGGTTGCTGGAGGGGAGGGGCATAGGGGGATGGGGTGGCTGGGTGATGGACCTTGGGGAGGGTATGTGTTGTGGTGAGTGCTGGGTGTTGTGTAAAACTGATCAATCACAGACCTGTACCCCTGACACAAATAATACATTATATGTCAATTAAAAAAATGAAAAAAAATTTCTTAAAGTCTGTTTTTTGGTTTATCTTTTCCCCCCCTCTATTTATTTGTTTTGTTTCTTAAATTCCACATATGAGTGAAATCAGGTATTTGTCCTTCTCTGACTTGCTTCACTTTGCATAATACTTCTAGCTTCATCCATTTTGTTGCAAATGGCAAGATTTTGCTCTGTTTTAAGGCTGAGTAATAGTCCATTGTATGTAGGTATATATAGATACATACATACCACACCTTCCTTCTTTATCCATTCACCTACCAAAGGATGTCTGGGCTACTTCCATAATTTTATTCAGCCACTTTCAAATATCCATTCTTTTGCAGTACCCATGGTCTATTCTGGAACTTGGGCTTATAATTCACATTATTCCTAAAGCTATCAAAAAGAGCAGAGGAATATGATTTCTGGCCTAAAAACCAGAGAAAAACCTTCATTTCCCTGGAAGAATGTGATTTCAGGAACAGATTATTACATACCCCATACCCCACTGTCAAAATCTGGTTTACTTATTTTCATTTTTAGTGGATCATCTCCCTAGGAAAGCTCTCCTTATCCAATATTAACAACAGCATGCCCAGCTCTGAGACTTGGGGCCTCCTCTTGAGCGGCTGCTTTTAAAAGAAATTCTGAATAGACAGAAAGGAGGAAAATGCTACTGGTACAGATACAAAAGGAGATAAATTCAATGAGAAAGCCATGTAGCAGAAACTTTCGAGATAACATCAAAGACTGAAAGCATTCATAGGAATATAATTCCTTTTCCTGTTTTCTGTTATCACAAAAAAATTAATTAGTCCCGAGGGTGTGTTTGTAATAGAAGAGTCTTCAAGGGCACGGAGACTTCAAAGATCACTGCTCTATCCTAAGAAATAAAACATTAAGGCTATAATGGTCTGACTCATTGAACAGTTGAACTGATTACCCTGGGCAATAATGTTCAAACTGGCATCTCTGTTTTCTAAGAGTTTAAATCGGTGTTTCTTTGCGAACCTTTGGAATTGCCCTCTTACCTAGTCACATGTAGGTTAAATAACATGATGAACCTGCTAAACATCCTATCTTGGAACAACGAGATCCATTATCACCTTGGAGACCAAATGGGAAAAACAGCAGCACGAAAATGCTTAGGCTCCTTCTTGTGGAGTGAATATCTCACTGCCATTCCACTGCCCAGGGGCCATCCTTGCAAGAGAGAACCCAGGCTGAGCTTATGCTTACCCACTCCTACACTTTAAATGTGTACATATAAAACAAAAGGGAAGACAAAGACACTGAACACACATAATGAGGAATGGTTAAGGTGCAGAGAGTTTTCAGCTATTCTTCAAATGAAGATCCCTAACACGAGATATGAAAAATAACATCAAAGAAACCCCACGATTGCCAATAAGATAAAGAGCTCACCTTTGAAGGATCAACTCTGCTTGCTGTTCAGAAATAGTTAGACCTAGTATCTGGAGAGACTGGACAATTTCGGAAGCCTCAATTACACCTTCAAAAAATGAAAAAGAGCATAAACTCAGACTCAGAATGGGTAAGGATCTTAGAAGTCATGAATTTCAAATCTCTCATTTTGTAAGGGAACGTCTTGGACTCATTAGGGCAAAATTATGACTCTAGGCAAGTTACGGATTTCCTTAAATACATATTGCAACACCAACTCAAAGTGTAACAAATACATTTAACAATTACATGGACATTACCTCATTCAGAAAGCATGCAGTCCCATCAGTAAATAATGATATTCCATCTAAAGAAAAAGAGACTGAGAACATATGTGGCCCTACCAAGTACCAACAGTAAGCAGCAGCATGACTGAGATTCAAATCAGGACACTCTGACTCTGACGTGAAGTCCATTAAGCTAGGATCTATCAATATTACACGTCTGCATTTCTACACTTTAATAAATGACTAGGCAACTTTCACACGTGTAAAGATGTGTTGCACAGGGTTAAAAGGAAGTAGAAAATGACCAAAAGAAGCCAAAGACTGTGGACTATTCTTTTGAGAAATCTGGCAATAAAAATAAAGAAAGTGGGGGTGGTAGGACAATGGAAGAGGGAAGATTATTATTATTAGAGAAATTAGAGCATGTTTGTAGATAGAATGAGAGGAATTAGAAGAGGGGAAGAAAGAGAAAATAGAAGCAATAAATGAGAGTGATAAATACTATGTTTCCCTCAAGCAGCTCACAGACTCATGAGCCCAAGACCAATATGCATGAAACAGGAGGAAACCAAACAAAGCATGAGAGGGTCTGATGCCAAGTAGGCCTGACGGTGAAGTTCTCCAGGAAAAGAGGAGGACAAAAATTACTCTTAGTGGTGAAGGCAAAGACTTCATTTAAGAGAAGGACTCTGGGGGCGCCTGAGTGGCTCAATGTGTTAAAGCCTCTGCCTTCGGCTCAGATCATGATCCCAGAGTCCTGGGATCGAGCCCCACATCGGGCTCTCTGCTCCACGGAGAGCCTGCTTCCCCGCCTCTCTCTCTGTCTGCCTCTCTGCCTACTTGTGATCTCTGTCTGTCAAATAAATAAATAAATAAATAAATAAAAATCTAAAAAAAAAAAAAAAAAGAAAGAAAGAAAAAAGAGAAGGACTCTGAAGAAGTCCCAGGATTTGGAAAGAATTTTCCTGGGGAGAGGAAAAGAGAAACAGAATCTGCACAGCGTAAAAAACAGAGGGATCAGTTTGTTAGCAAGGAAATTCCTTAAATGCCATTCTGAATATTCTCTGTTACAACTGCACTCTTAAAGAAATAGAGCCAATCCTTATCATTCTTGGTAGTTATGTTCTACAGGGTCACTACGAACCCTGAATTAACAAACCACTGTTCTTATGGGGAACACAGGGCTAGGTTCCTTGAGCCTCTGATCACAACGTATTCATCAACCAATCAATATAAAACCTTGTCGGTATAAAACCTTGTTACAGGTATGTATAAATACTATATAATTCCATATTATAGTGTTGATTCTGTAACGTTGAACTCATGGCCATTCATACTACAACTCATGCCTGAGTGACGTACACCTGCTCGCATTTAGGAATGCGAGATGGCACTTCAGCACTATGCTTGGGAGCCACTGCGAACAGCAAAATCACCAACAAAAAGCACAAAAATGCAAGACACATGGCACTAGACAGAAGGACACCTGTTTATAGTATGAGAGCTCAAACATCACTTTCTTCTCTCTCAGCGAGAAACGTGCTCACCAAGCAAATGAAGTCAAGTCCATGAAGGACTGCCAAAATGCTGCAAGCACTGATTCTGGAGTTACTTTTGGGGTTAAATTTTAGCAAGTAGGCAAGTTCTCAATTACACAATCCACAAATAAGCAGGAAAGACTGTTTGTGCTTTGCTTAAAGAAGTCTGATCCACAAAAATGAACTTCTAATGAGAAACTGTTTGAAAATCTACAAACAAGATAAATTAAGTAAAAACGGTTTTCATTTACTACAAACACATCACAAAATTTCACCTTGAATTATTTCCTCTGGTTCATGGAGACTTCTCTGAAATGGACAACTGATATGGGCACAACTTACGTACGGGGATGATTGACCTCTGCCCCTGAGGTAGCTCCATCTCTTAGCTACCGCCTGCCTTCACACAACACAGACAGTCCTACCTATGTGGCTGAACTGTAGTGGGCTCAAGACAGGATGAAAGTTTGCAGAGAAGCAAAGCTGCTTTTAATAACTACATTTTGCTAGATTGGACTAAGGCTAGACTTGGAGGTATGCGGTGTAAGGCTTCTAGGAGGTAACAAATGTTTAAAGAGCACTACTTTCTACCACAAACTCAACTTCCTCGATGAGTATCACAGACTGATGCTCATCCTGGACCATCATCTAATCCATTCAAAGGGTTTAGCTGTTTGAAGTGATTTGCTTTATCCCTAACTAAAGTTAAATTTCTTTATTCAGTATAAACAAGGGGCCAACAAACTATGACCTTCCAGCCAAATAAGGCCTGTTGCCTGCTTTTGTAAATCAATTTTTATTGGAACACAGCCATGTTTATTCATGTATATATAGTGCATGGCTGTTTTTGCACGATGATAGCAGAGATGAGTAGCTACAACCTGTGAGACCACATGGCTCACAAAGCTGAAATATTTACTATTTGGATTTTTATTAAAAAAAAAAAAAATTGCCTGCCCCAGGTATGAACCATATTTTTCCCTCAATCTATTTGTTTAACTTGTTTCTTGAATAACAAGTCTGTGAATGGAATGGCCCTGACTATTCATATAGAGGGAGAGGTTTGACGATGCATTTTAGTTTTGTACGCATTATAATGTTTTTAAAATAAATTCCTACTTCCTATCAAAAGGAAGTCTACATCTAGTGATAAGGGTTTCATGACTCCCCCCTTTCTCCTACTGTGGCACTGGCTTTTTGCTCTACATACTGGGACTCTAAATTTAAACTATTAATCTAAATAGTGAAACCATTATCTCAACCAGAAGATACATAATTTAGGCACACCTGACTAACTCAGTTAGCAGAGCATGTGACTCTTGACCTCAGGGTGGCAAGTTCAAGCCCCACATTGAGGGTAGAGTTTACTTAATTTAAAAAAAAGAAGATACATATTTGAAATACTTGTCTATTTTTTCCTCCCAATTTTCATGATTAGAGAGTAGTTGCCCTAAAATAAGCCTTTCAAAAAGATTATTAAATCTAAGACAATCTGAAAGTTTTTAAACTTTAGAACATATAACATTATATCTATATATGAACAAAAACAAATTTGTTTATATATTTTTTTAAAAAAATCCAAAAAGTTATAGGTTAAAAATATACAACTGTAAGTCAAATCAGCACAATATTCTATAGTGAACATAGCCTTATTCACAGTTTTTAATTCAGTAGACAAAGCTATGTACAAGTTTTCCACATTAAAAACAAATTCTACAGAAAAATCACATTACTATGAAAAACAAGTACTAAAACTACTAGTAATTATTCTCCCAAAAAAAGAGAGACTAAATACATATCATTTTACACTTTTGGAAATATGAGAAATGCTTCTTCATAGCTGGTAATGAAAATAAAATAGAGACACACCATCGTTATTTTTGTCCAAACTCTTAAATGCCAATTTCATTTTTTTCTCATGGTCTTTAAGATACTTCATAAATTCTTCAAAATCGAGCTTCCCATCTTTGTTGATATCACCAGTTGTAAAGATTTTCTATAAAAAAAAAGAAAAGAGTTTTTTTAAATAGGCTAAACTACTAAATTATTTGAACATACACTTCCAGCAGCCTGATTAGTTATTTCCCAGTAAGACATGCACTTTATAAACTCCAAGATAAAAAACATACACTTGACCTAGCACCTAGGATTTAGATGTCTAAAATAGTATTTTTCCTGAGGCGCCTGGGTGGCTCAGTCAGTTAGGCCTGGAACTCTTGATTTTGGCTCAGGTCATGATCACAGGGCTATGACATCAAGCCCCGTATCAGACTTAGCAAGGGCAGGGAGCCTGTTCAAGATTCTCTCTCTGCCTCTCCCCCCACCCCACTCCTCTCTCTCCCCACCCACGCACGTTCTCTCTCAAATAAATACATAAATAAATAAATGCAAATACATGTATATTGTCACTGAAAAATAATTACTGCTGTTTAATTACTCTTACAAATTAGATGGGAGGATCATGTTCACCTGAAAATTACATCCTGACTACTCAACATATACCGAGATGTGCATAATCCAAGAGCAAATGGCACAGCATTCTGGGGCCCCATTTATGTACTGAAGTTTCATCTAAGAAGCTTATATTTTGGTCCATGGAAGTATCAGGGAACAACTATCATTTGGGAAATTGCAAGTTAAAAGACCCTATCTTTGAAGAGCTTGATTTTTTTACCCTTCTTATGGTAAATAAGGACTCTAACCTACAATAGTATGAAAGACTAGGGTTTCCCTTTTGAATTTACTTTTGTGTTCCTCTGTAGAAATAAATGAAAACCAATCAAACGAGAAAAGCAAAGGCAATTTGTTCTGAGCTTACTACATAGCAAGGCAGTAAGCCGTGGTCAGTTTTGGCTGAGACTCAAAGGCAGGCAGAAGGGTGGGGCAAGCTTGATTTTGGGGAAAAGGGAGGCTTCAGGTGTGCCCTGATTGGCGGCTCTGGGCCTGCAGAAGTCATAGGCAGGTTAAAGAGAAGTGGGGCATCCTGTGTGACTGTCCCTCTCTCTAGTTGGTCCTAAGTTGGAAGTGGGGACAGAAACTAGGGAAGGTGTCAGGTATCAATCAATCTCTGACCATTGGGGCTGATTGTTACAAAAGTTATTTTGCTTCCTGGATTGTCTCTAGAGATAGCAGTTTGGACTCCTCTAAGTCTGATTTATAGCAGGGTGGTTCCCTGGGTTGTTTACTACAGAAAAGGGGTTGGTTTCCTGAGCAGGTTACTCTAAGTTCAAGTGGGTCAAATTTCAGTTTTAAATATGAGCAAACCATGATCCATACTTGTATATTCAGTCTCTTCCTCCTCACACTAAAAAGCCAATAAAACATCATTCAAAGAACCTGTTATCAGAATAAAAAAAGCTGTATCTTTTCTTTCTTATCATTATATAATGTAAGTACCATTTCTATTTTTTTAACTGATGAATTCTTAATTTATATAAATGAATTTTCTACTAGGGAAGGTGGAGACATGTGGGAGAAAACTCACATTAGAACCCCCTAAAGATGTCACTGTCAACCGAGGAAAAGCCGCATCAGCATTCTCCTGCAATGGTTCTGTGTGGTTGATGACAGCCCTCCAGAGCTAACTCTTCCTGAGTTTAGTGTGTGAGCCCTGTCACCACCACTAGGCATACAAACCCTTATATGGCTCACACCATCTCTTAAAAAACAAAAGACAGATTCGCAAAAAATTTTGTTTTTGTAAGGATGAAATGTGTTTCAAAGAACTGAACTTGTTTATGGCATAAACCAGAATTTCTTATGAAAGTTTAGTTTGTATCAAAGAAATACAAAAAACCTGAGTACAAGAATAAAGGATATTTAAATAAGCATAAAGTGGGGGGTGCCTATCTGACTCAGGTAAGCGTCCGACTCTTGTTTTCAGCTCAGGTCATGATCTCAGGGTTGTGAGATTGAACCCCACATCGGGCTCCCTGCTCAGTTGGGAGTCTGCATGTCTCCCTCTCCTTTTGCTCACTCTGTCTCTGTCTCTCTCAAATGAAGAAATAAATCTTTAGAAAACAAACAAATAAATAATGAGCATAAGAGATATTTAGCTTTAAAAAGAAAAGCACTTCAAAAAAATTTTAAAAAATAAAGAAAAAAGAAAAAAACACTTCCATTTTGTTCTAGGAATTACAAAAACCAAGTGAACTTTATGGAGATAACATTTTGGATTGGTCTAATCCACAGAAAACACCCAGTCCAGGCCTCTGATTCCACAAATGAGAAAACTGAGCTGTAGCACTTGGCATACAGAATGTGGCCAAAATACAGCTGCTCAATCCCTGGACGAGGAAAGTAGAGACCCCCAGAGACCACACAGCTAGTAAGAAGAGCTTTATTCAATCTTAACACGACAGAACTCAGCCAAGAGATTTCTGAGCACAAAGTACCAATGATCTGAAATGAATTCAACAGTTCTCGCTCTCCTGAATCTCCCGCCCAGTCTACTGCTGTAAACACCCAAAGAGCAAATATAATTGGAAAGTACTTATATTCAATAATAATTTCCAAACAGAAAATAACCTGGAAATACAGTGATTGAAATATGCATCAGGCATTACATACTGAGACGCTATCTGTAATCTAGGCAGCTGGGAAAAAGGGATTCCCAGGCAAAATGATGCCTGAGCTCAGTCTTTAAAAGTCTGCTAATGAAGGCATGCTTCATTAGGAAAGGTCAGAACTCGCCAGACCCCCAGGGTACAAGCCCGGAGACTGAATGCCCTCCTTCTAGGAAAAGAAACCAAAAGATAATACTAGACCTTTTCTAACTACCATCCCACTCCCATACACATCTACAGCGATTATCCCAGTTCCCCAAAGTGGGGAGGGAGCCTCACTGGCCTAGATACCCATCCAGGCTACTAGTAACAGGTGAGTACATTGAACAAGGTGACCCCCCCTCCCCAAAACAAGGTGGTAGCCAACATCTTGAGAACACTTTGAATTTGGAAGTTTTATGAGAGCCAGGGGAAGTAAGAAAAATGCTTGAGAAAAGTATCAGCTGTGTTGTTTTTCTTAAAACGGTAAAACGTTGCTAATCAACCTGAAAGTTACAGTGGGTCCCAGGTGAAGCCAGATAAAGTGTCAATTTGGTTTCCTCCATCTCTGCCCAAGGAGTCTCCAGGGCTCCCAGCCCCCACATCTCTCTGACCACAGCCCCATTGAGGCCCACCTGCCCTTCCTCCAGGAACTCGATGAACCCTATACGCTGCAGGCCTTCCTGAAGCTCAAGGATATCCAGGGTCCCATCTTTATTAGAGTCCAGGTACCGAAAGAGTTCTTCATAGAGGGCATCCATTTGGGATGTCTCCGGCAGCAGGGGTGGTCCACGCTGTGGCCCCCGGGAGCCTCGCAGAGGTGGAAGTTGGGGGGAGAAAGGTGCCTCCGGCGCACCATCCATCCAGTTAGCAGGGACCTACGATAGCAATGTCCTCCCCAGGCTCCTTCCGCGAGATCAGGCGCAGGAAGGGGAGGGCCCATCGCAACGGCTCCAGCGCCGAGGCACGAGGTGCATCCGTGAGCCCTGGAGCTTCCGTAGCGACTGCTAGGGGTCTGACCCAGATACCGAGGCCTCGGTGCTTGGGCTGTGCTCTTAAACCAGCGGATGAGACGCCCTGGCTCTCACCCCAATCCAGGAGGAGCCTTGAAGGGACAACTCACGTCCTTCCCCCAAGCCTTCCGGAAAGAACTTTGCACAGGGCTGTCTAAAGGTAGAGCTTCTTTTAGAGAGAAGTGGGTGGGAAAGTGTTGGGACACGGATGGTGGGGCCATATTGACTGGTGGTGAAGTCCACCTTTTTAAAAAGTTGTTTCCTTACACCTTCTTAGAAGCCCTCTTCTAAGGTTGAAGCACTTAATATTGTGGCGATTAGGAATTGGGGACCTAATGAAAATCTGCCCACTTGGGCCTCTCCTGCTTTGATTCTAGCCACCCCCAACTCCCACCTTATCTTCACACAGTATCTGCAGTGGTTTCAGAGCAAGGATACGCTACGCTAACCACCAGGGTCCCAGCTCTGTCCTCACAGATGTTGGCAGCACACTCAGGAGGATAATCTCAAAATGGGTAGAAGTTAATTCAGCTGGGATCACAGAGAGAAATCAGTGGGTATTCATACACGATGTCTGTGGCTTCTTCTTAATCCCACTCTTCAGAGTCCCTGAGGCCTCTGGCCTCCCTATACATGGACCTATGGTCCCTCACCTGCTCCACTGAAAATGTGGAAGTGTAGTTTCACAGTTAAAATTCCACTTTTTCTGTAATCTATTTTCCTAATAATGGAGTACTCTTTAAAAAGCTGAATATTAGGGGCACCTGGGTGGCTCAGTCGTTAAGCGTCTGCCTTTGGCTCAGGTCATGATCCCAGGATTCTGGGATCGAGCCCCGCATCAGGCTCCCGGCTTGGTGGGAAGCCTGCTTCTCCCTCTCTCACTCCCCCTGCTTGTGTTCCCTCTCTCGCTGTGTCTCTCTGTCAAATAAATAAATACAATATTTAAAAAAAAAAAAAAAAAGAATCATTGATTAAAAAAAAAAAAGCTGAATATTAAAATTCATGTGGAACAACAGGAAATTCTCATTCATTGCTGGTGGAAAGGCAATATGGCACAGCCACTGTGGAAGACAGTTTGGCAGTTTCTTACAAAAACTAAACACACTCTCACCATACAATCCAGTAACCATGCTCCTTGGTGTCCACCCAAAAGAGGTGAAAACTTAACATCCACACAAATTCCTGCACACAGATGTTTAGAGCAGCTTTATTCATAATTGCCAAAACTTGGAAACAACCAAGATGGCCTTCAGTAGGTGATGGATAAGTAAACTGTGGTCCATCCAGATAGTGGAATATTATTCAGTGCTATAAAGCAATGAAGAATCAAGCCATGAAAAGACAAAGGAATCTTAAGTGCATATTACATATTACTAAGTGAAAGAAGCTAATCTGAAAAGGCTACATACTATATGATTCTAGCCATATGACATTCTGGA